CTGTCGGAACCTGGTGCTCAGCCTTGACTTGCTGACAAGTCAAATAGCGCGCAAAGAACTCGGAGATTTCCTTTTTCATAGCTGGCCACCAATAGGATTTCTTCAAATCCTGATACATCTTGTTACTACCCGGGTACATAGTGTAAACGGTTCCGTGAGCCTCGCATAACAAGCGATCCCTCACTTCACCGCGGGGCACCACTAGGCGTTCACGATAGTACAAGACTCCGTCATCGCGAATTGCAAACTCGGGCCTCTTTCCTGTAGGAACTAACTCTCGAGTCTTCTGACAAAACTCATCATCTCTCTGTGCTGTACGGATCTCCTGCTCTAACGGAGACTGAAGCTGTAACTCGGCTAACGATTTTCTGCTCAAAGCATCGGCCACGATGTTAGCCTTTCCCGGGTGATACTCAATGACTAAATCATACTCCTTGATCAGCTCCAACCATCGACGTTGTCTAAGATTCAGCTCCTTCTGGGTGAGTAGGTACCTCAAACTCTTGTGATCGGTGAAGATGTGAATCCTCTCTCCAAAGATGTAGTGGCGCCAAATCTTCAAGGCGAACACCACGGCTGCCAACTCTAAATCATGTGTCGGGTAGTTCTCCTCGTGAGTCTTCAACTGTCTCGATGCGTAGGCCACTACTTTACTCAACTGCATCAGTACACAACCTAAGCCGCTATGAGATGCGTCACTGTAGATGGTATACTCGATGCCAGGAGTAGGTTGAATCAAGACTGGTGCCTGGGTCAGGCACTCCTTCAGTTGATCAAAACTGCGCTGGCACGCTTCTGTCCACTCAAATTTGATGTCCTTACGCAGTAGCTTGTTGAATGGAGTAGCGATCGAAGCGAAGCCCTTAACAAATCGGCGATAGTAACCGGCTAACCCAAGGAAGCTCCTCACCTCCCGAACATTCCGCGGAGTCTTCCAATCCACTATGGCTGAAATCTTGCTGGGGTCTACCTGGATACCGGTGGCAGAGATAACATGTCCTAAGAATGTCACCTCACTCAACCAGAATTCACATTTAGACAATTTTGCATACAGTTTGTGCTCTCTCAACACACTCAAAACCAATTGCAAATGTCTAGCATGCTCCTCCTGAGTCCGTGAATAAACCAAGATGTCATCGATGAACACTACTACGAATTGGTCCAAGTATGGTCGGAACACACTGTTCATAAGCTCCATGAACACTGCCGAGGCATTAGTCAATCCGAAAGGCATGACTGAGAACTCATAATGCCCATAGCGTGTTCTAAAAGCAGTCTTCGGAATGTCTTCTCTCTTAACGGAAATCTGATGGTATCCAGAACGCAGATCGATCTTCGAGAATACTATAGCCCCTCTGAGCTGGTCAAACAGGTCGTCGATGCGAGGCAATGGATAACGATTCTTCACTGTGGCTTTGTTCAACTGCCTGTAGTCGATGCAAAGTCTCATGGATCCATCTTTCTTTCGAACAAATAACACCGGTGCTCCCCATGGGGAAACGCTAGATCGGATGAATCCCTTTTCCAGTAGCTCTTGCAACTGAGCCTTCAACTCCTTCATCTCGGCAGGTGCTATACGATACGGTGTAGTAGATATGGGTTCCGTACCCGGAATGAGATTGATCGAGAACTCTACCTCTCTCGGCGGAGGCAAACCAGATAGGTCTTCGGGAAAGACATCGGGGAAGTCGCAAACCGTACGAATGTCCTGCTGACGTGGCGATTCTTTTCGCATATCCTGAACGTGACACAGGAACATCTCGCACTTCTTGCGAATCAAGCGCCTCGCGCTCAAGGATGATATGAACTCGGGAGTCTTGGGGAACACCTCCCCGGAGAGTAATACGTCGCTACCGTCCTCGGCTCTCAGCCGTACGGTCCGACAACTGCAGTCGACCACTGCTCTATGCTCGGTGAGCCAATCCATACCAAGGATAAT